GTTCAGCACTAAGGACAGGTATATTCAGCTGCTCGCTTGGAATATAGTGTTCAGCACTAAGGACAGGTATATTTAGCTGTTCGCTTGGAATATAGTGTTCAGCACTAAGGACAGATATATTTAGCTGTTTGTTGGTGGTGTTCAGCACTAAGGACAGACCTCTTTATCTGTTGGTGATATTTATCACTAAGGACAGGTCTGTTTAACTATTGTGATATTCAGAACTAAGGACAGTCATATCGAGCTATTTGTGATATGTAGCACTAAGGACATGCCTTGATTTTGACAGTATGTCAGTCTTTGTGCAATGTAGAATGACGCCCACTGGGTCACTTTGTGTCAACGGGGCATGATCGACAGTCTATTGTACATTGGGTGGAAATATTGCGGCAGTTTTCTTGTTCTCTGACTTGTCATGTCGCCATGCTTTTTGTATAATAAGGCCACTTTTCCAAGAAGCTCACCTTTTCTCTGTCCCCTGGGTGGGTGTCTTAGACATGTATGACTGTATGTCACATAGCATTTATAGTTCATTTGTGTACATGGTGGACATAGTTTGTATGCGTGTATGACATTCACTATATGGGCAGATGGTGCTTACATGTACATGTATCTTTGGGCATGCTTGTCAAGTAAGAAAAATTGCAAAGATATAAAATCTTCCTTTTATATCTTTGCATAATCAATACTGTACAAATGCAAATTATGCATGGACTGGAATACCACAAACAAAATATTATTATGAAGCAGGAATTTATTCAACTATTTCTATCTATTTAGTAATGTCATGTATGTACTATGCAATCATTTGTTACATCTGGCCTTTCCGTTTGGCAGTAGCTTTCTATTTGCATTTCTCAAGGGAAAGATAATTATATTATCCACAAGGTATATAAAGCTAAAACTGTTTTAGATTAATTACAAAGTCTTGTACTGGTAATTCCATCTGATGATTGAATAATTCTACATGTAGTTCTAAAGAATACAACAAGCTACATACATATATTTACAAGTTCACATATGTTGCATTTGAAAATGATAAGAAAAGTACAAGATAAATATGGAGAAATATGGGTGTCTAACCTACACCCACAACATAACCAGAAATATAACATTACAGATCTCAAACCTCTGTAAAATATTTATTGTGAGTTTTGTGAATTTCCTATTTATTCTTTACTGTGAAGTTCTTTCATGTTTTCCCCCACTGGCTATGATAAGGCAAGACATGAATATATATAGCCAGAAATTGGAGACAGGAAAAAACCTTTTCTGGGCCAATGGCCTAACTTCCTGTCAGTGTCCACTATGTACCTACCATATGCAAATAACAAAGGAAACACAAGTGGGCACACAGACACCAAAAACAAAACCTCCATACACGGAGGTACATGTTCATGTAATAAAACTTCTCTGCAAAATTAATGTTGATTCTGTTTATCAATTTTTCTATTGCTTTGTGGTTTAGGCTAAAGCATTTCTATAAGGGATTGACAATGTATCTTTTAACACTGTGCAAGTTAAATAATAGGGCTTAAAATACTCTGACAATTGATAGAATTGCACACAGTAATATTTATAACCTACAAGATACATGTACAATTTGTTATATCAAACCTGACCTAAGGAAAAGGACTATATTCTGTGCTTAAGTGGTGCTCACAACTAGCCCATTTTACAATGGCAAGCAGACAACAATTCCATCAACATGCTCTGATAAATAATCTTTTTATATACTGTACAGTAGAAACTACAGTAGGATATCCTTCTCTCAACTGTCTACAGACTATTAGAATAACAAAAAAGTTAAACAAGAATTCACTGACCTACATGTATATTGCTATCAGATAGTTTTACTTGGTAAACTGCACATAGAAACAGATCACCATCAAAAACCCCTCTCCCTTACCATTGAAATACATGTATCAGAAAGAGTGCCCCCTTTGTAACCGGGAGGTCGTGAGTTCAAACCCCAGTCGGGTCATACCAAAGACTTTAAACATGGTACATACTGCTTTCTCTACTTAGCACTCAGCACCCATGAGAAATAGTATGGGAAGTTCAAGCACACAGCACTACCAGCGGACCAGCCTCCTGCTGTAGTGCTTGCACAACTGTGTGGCCCAAGGGCTACAGAAATGGAGATGGGCACCACCTAGAGCTGTGTACCGGTACGCAGTACCGATACTGTACCGGAAAAATTGATTAGGTACAGGTCCAAAATACCTAATCCCTCAGTACCGGTACTGTACCTAAACAATTTCACACCAATTTTATGCCTATTTGTGACCTCAAATGTTTAAATAGCTGGTTAACAATGGGTGCCTGTGTAAGGACAGTGTGTTCATGAAAACAAAAACATCTTAGTTTTGCCCATATTTTATCTGAGCATTCGCCATAAACAAAGAATAAACCTTAACTATCAAGTTTATTTATGTTTTTTTGTTATTGAAGGAGTTCAGAAGAGCATATAAATTGGTCGAATTGTTCAGGTACAGGTTCAGGTCCGGACCTGTACCTAAACCTGTGTACCTGTACCTGTACCTGTACCTAAAATTTGTTTAGGTACACAGCTCTAGCACCACCCCTTTGCTCTGAACAGTTTGGAACGGGACCTTACTAACATCTGCATGTGTGGGGAGTGAACTTGTCCACAGTATGGAGAAGGTAAACAATCATGCACTTTAAAGGCATCCAAAGCAGTTTCAGGGTGCCAAAACTTGATTTTAAACTCAATTTTCTTGTCATTCTTATAATGTAGTAAGTTGAATTGTTATCCATGATCAGTGACGTTGCTGAGAGAAAACGGTTGCTTGTTTGTTGCCGTAGGCTGGTTCTAGCTATTTACTGGTGGTGCTAACTCCTCAAGTAGCTTGTTCTGGGGTTATTTCAAGTGCTTCAACTTCAAGTATGAAAAGATGACAGAAATGTGCTAAGAAATGGAAGTAAATATCCGTATCAGACAGATTTTCTCATCCAGGATATGAATATTGCATATACTAGTATTGCATTGGATGCCTTCAATGTGACAAAAATTATTGTGATGTTGCAAACCTAACTTCACTGACCAGATGTACATGTATGCAGACTTGCAGTGATCTGACAGCAAAACTTGTTACACATTGGCCTGCTATAGTATAAGTACATACTACACGTATACCTGGGAATTCTAAGCTAGGTACTAATTAAGTACATAAATCTTTCACAAAAAGTTTGGAAACTTGGAAGACTTCCCTGAGCTGTCAACAGTGTTTGACATTGGAAGGGAAATCTCTGCATGTTTGGGGGCTACCCCTCAATGTCATCAGTCAAGGTGCTTGTTGCACACTATTATTTCAAATAAGGCCACACCAATTTAATTTCTCGGTTAACAGATTTTTCTAGAAAAATAATGGAGTGGGCGGGCGAACAAAACAAACAGGCCTAGGCATCCTATTATGGCCCAAAATGGTACGGTGGGAGCCATGAAGTCAACACACCAGGCTGGTTCAAAATTTAAACAAATTGATGATGCATTTTGAACTTTTAATGATACCATTGCATTGATAGATGGAATACCTGTAACATCTAGGAAGAAAAGGGCTGTTTTCAACTGTTCAGGACAAAATATGAGCATTTTGCAGTTGATTCTGAATTTTTTTTTTGCAAATCAGAGAAAAATGAAGGGGGCCAATCCATTAACCAAGAAATTAAATTGGTGTGGCCTAAGGTATCCCTTTCCAGAAAAATGTACAAGCTTTACAATGATATGAGCCACAATACTAGTCATTAAAAAACAACACACATGATTGCAGCACAAACATGTATCTGCACTTTTTTCTTCTGAGTATATACGCTGACTTAATTTCATGGATGACATCCTCTGAAGACCCCCAAACTATAGTGCGTGCGGGCAAAAAAATGCTGCTAAACCACAGGAATACAAAGCTGGTATAATTTGAATTTGCACTTTTACAACAAGTCAGCACTTTACTGAGTTCTTAAGTTCTGTGGAGCTTTGGCAGCCTAGATACCATCCTCCGTAGTTAATGCCAGCTCCCTATTGTCACTAGCTACCATGGACTACCGTAACGGAGGATGGCACCCAGGCCAGAGCCTCGGAGGAAGTATTTTTTGACAACAGTAAAAAATCAATACACGCGTGGATGTCATCCATAAAATTAAATCAGTGTGGCTTTTGTAAGCAACCCAAAGAATGTACTACCACACATATGTATCGAAAGCGGTATCACTGTAAATGGTAAAAAGTAAAATTTCCAGTGACATTCAAATACATAGGCAATTGATAAAGTAACAACAGAATGAACCAAAACCATGTTTCCAAACCTTTTGTGTTAGTTTTAAGTACAGCAGCACCTTGCTGTAGTGGGAAGAACCAGTCAGTATTGCCCTGAGGAAGGTATCAGAAAAACTACCAAAACATCGGCAAGTTATTATATATACTGTTTAGGTTATATATATTCCAAGAACTTTGTTCATGAATTGAATTACCAACCTCATGAAACTACTTAAGTTTTGTACGTGTCTTTTCTGATTTGCTTCTTATATATTTGTCACTCATGCCATGGCAAGAATTATATTGAAGAACATACATGTACATGCCTTCTTTACCTTATACAATGTACATTAAAAATCCTTTTGGAATCATAGATTACAGTCATAAATAGTAGACATTACCCTGAATTCTGAGGTTTTCTAACCAGAGAAGACAGGAAAAGGAAAGCTTGGTCCTGACAGGTTCCAAAGCTTTCATAACATCAGTGTTCTAGCCAGCCTGATTTTTCTTCAGCGTCATTCTCAATCTTGTTTGACATACTAGTAAGATCATGTAGAGCTCTAGAGGTGCGACAATTCTAGGGGTGTGGGGCATGCTCCCCCAAGGAAATTTGAAGATCTCAACCCTCTGAAACACTATTCTGCATTTTCAGGGGCAAATTCTGCTGGTAGACTAAGCTTAGTTTAATGACATATCTTTCTATATCTTTACATTTGTGTACATGCTGGTTTTTGTCCATCAAAGAGGATGGTTTCAGCAAATTTTTTGTCCGTCACGAGCAGCCAACTTCTGTCAAATGACAGAAAGACGGATGCTGGCTAGAACACTGCATAGCACCACATAACTTACTGTTACCTACTGTCATTAGTATCCACCATGTTACTATTGGAGTCCACAATGTCCATGGCTTTAGTCGTGCTGTCTTGTTGTTGGTTCTCGTTCAATGTTGTAGATTGCTGGGGGTTTGTCTGATTTGTTACAGTTTCACTGTTACAGTTCTCTGTGTTGGTTTCCTGGATGAAGTCCTTGGTTGGCCGTGGGTCGCCGTGTGTGTGTGTGTGCGTGGGTGTAGCGGTGCCCGTGTGTGTGTGCGTGGGTGTAGCAGTGCCTGGGTTAGTGTGCGTGGGTGTAGCGGTGCCCGGATGGGTATTGTCTGTGTCGCTGTCGTCATCCAGAATGATGACGTCCTCCGGCTCCAGCTCCATGGTGATGTACACCTCTCCCGGCGGGGAGTCTGTACCCCCGTCTCCCGCTGACCTGCTACCAGGGATCAGCAACTTGGCGATGGACCGCAACCGCTTCACCTGCAAAACACCAACTTGTTACCAAATTTGTTTCAACTCATTAAGAAACAGTCAAGACATCTGAGATTCCAAAACTCCAGAAAGTAATAAAAGGCATGATGATCACAAGGACTGCTGACAATTTTCACATTAACAGCAATGTTTAGTTTACTCTGGGTGGGTAGGAACTAGGAATCAGTCTTGGCAAAATCTTAACAGTGAACAGATAAAGTTTGTTTAGTGACACTAGAGTGGGTGAAAAAACATTTTTATTGGGTGAGCCAGCTACTATCTCCTTGCAGCCAAGTGCTGAATTGTAAGGAACTACAGTAACAGTCTAGTGAGGCTGAATTGCAAGGGTCTATCTGAAGCAACTGCCATTCGGTGGTAACTCATTTAAACACAAAATGGCCCCAGGTGCAGCCATAGGACTGTAAGCTTTGAATCACTTATCCTGGGGAGGACCCCTAATCTTATTGATAAGTTTGGTGCTCGAGGTGTGGCTCTCCTCAAACATGGGGTCTCCATTTAACATCCTGTCTGAGGGACGTCCCTAACCATAGCTAGGTACTCATTTTCACCTAAAACAGCCTCCAGTTTAATTCCGGACTTCCAGTTTAATTCCAGACAACCTCCCATATCTCAGCAGCCTTAAACCCAAATGGGCTAATATCACAAACCATAAAAATGATGTAAGAAATATGTAGCAGCTATGCATAATGCTTTGAGGGGTTATGCATAATTATGCATAATGCTCAAGGGTTATAATACGTAAAATAATTGGACGAACCCCCAGGGGGTCGCGAATAGCTGCTACATATTTCTTACATCATTTTTACCTATGGTTTGTGATATTAGCCCATCTGGGTTTAAGGCTGCTGAGATATGGGTGGTTGTCCGGAATTAAACTGGAAGTCCAGAATTAAACTGGAGGCTGTTCTAAGTAAAGTGTGGAAAGTTGTATTAAGTGCCTTTCTCAAGGCACAACATCAGGGCATGTCACATTGTCAGGGATTCGAACCCAGTGCCTCTGGGTTCTGGGCCAAACACCCTTAGTCTAACCATTATGCCACATGACCCCAACATACACAATACTACATACCTCCTTTTCCATCTTGTCAATCTTGGACTGTATGTTCAGTGCAGACACAGGCCTGTTGTCCTGTCCCAGCTGGTTAGCTGTCAGGTGTTCTTGACGCTGTAACATTCAAGACCAAGTCCATACTTATCCACAAAGACAACTATCTAGTAAATGTTCATTATGTACATGTATAATTATTATTATGAAACTTGAAACTTTTTTTGCAAAATCATGCCCGAAGGCTAATTGCTTTTATAATCAAGTATACTACTCATTGCAGTAACAGTAATACAAGACAGGCAACAACTGTCTGGAAAAACTTCTACTTCTACTACCGGTACTATGCTAGCTATCATGGGGTTCGACTATTATATACTGTACCTTCATGGAACATGAAATGTTGTATAATTTCAAAAACATCCCATCATTTGCGTGCAAAAAGCTTTGCACAATACTTCAGGTAGTACCATGTCACAAAGTGCTTGACCTGTCATACTCTGCCAACCAACATGTCTGAGGTAAACAAAACAGACCTTTCCTGGCCCATTTGAGTGTGTTTCGTTCAGTTTTCAGAATTTTATTGATTTCTTGCAGTTTTCAGAAACCTCACTAGTAGAGCCGAAAATGTCTACAAAAATGCTACCGGACACTACTAGAAATTCTTCAAGAAAGTGTTTAGAATGTCTCTATTGTGTCTTTACAGGGTCTTCTTGGAGAGGACTGTTGTGTTTGTTGTGTTTTCAATTGTTTTGAAAAATTAAATAAATGTGTCTCAGATTGTCTTAAGAAAAACTGTGAAAACTTGTCTACAGTTCTTACAGTAGGGAAAATGTCATCTTTCAGTAAACATGTCTATTTCATGTCTTTCTGTCTGGACTTTGTTCAGAAATGTCTGTATCATGTCTAGTGTCTGGTAGCCTTTCTATAGACATTTTCTGCTATAGTGCCTTGCAAGCAATAAGGGGAATGGAGGTGATGATGATGATTTAAAAAAAAAATTTATTCCAACATGTAATCACCAGACGTGGTGACGACACACTCAAGTTTTTTCAACTTATATTAATGCCGCCACCAACACAGGGGACAAATACATTACAGGACAATACTCATTTACACCTGAGCTAAGTGAGGAAAGTTGTGTTAAGTGCCTTTCCCAAGGGCACAAGATCGGTGGCATGTCAGGACTCGAACCCGGGACTCGCGAGTCGCGCACTCTGCCGCTACACCACACGACCCCACATAATTCTTGTGTGTGTTACATCTTCTCCAAGGTCACAACAGCTTCTTCAAGGTCACAACACTGGAGCACATGAGGAAGATTCTGACCTGTATTTCCAGGTCGGCCACACGCTGCCGCAGCTCCGCTATGGTGGCCATTTTATCAGCCTCTCTCAGACGAATGTCCATCACCTCAGATGTGCTCTGGGTGGACAGAAATACATGTATGTGGTAAGAAACTGACTCAACTCAAGAGGACAAAAAATGCTTTTAGTGATCAGTCACACTAAATAAAGTTTAAATAAATGTAGAAACAAGGAGGAGCCAGTAAAAACCCTTCTGGTCCCGGGCCGGGGTTTGAACCCACGACCTCCCGGGCACCAGAGCTTCATAACCAGACGCTCTAACCTCTCGCCGGAAAAGGTCTAGACCCGTTTTCCGTATCTGTTGGTAGCGCCTATAAAGCCCCACTGTTACATAAAGGCTTACTACTACTACTACTACTACACACATACATGTACAAAGATTTGTTTGTATTCTGAATAGAATCATTGTTTCACGTATGTATGTTGTATATATTGTATGTTGCAATTAGCCCTTGGGCATGAATTTGCAAAATTAATATATTGTCGCACAATTGCAAACTCAGGGTGTTCTCTGGACTGTGCGGCATGATTATGTTTTGCGAATAGCAGAATGTCATGTTACAGAAAAGGCTTGTCAACGGTTGTTTCTATCACAGCTTCCTTGAAAATTCTACAGCATCAGAATTGTATGATGATGACCCTCACGTTACATAGTGCTGTATACCGGTTCACTGGACTTGGATCCGGACTTGTAAGAATGTTTAGGTTCAAGTTCAAAAAAACCTAAAAGTCAAGAACCGAGTCCAGACTTATTACCATAAAAGACCATTTCACATACCCCTTTTCTTTCCAAACCACCTAAAACTGTCCGTAGATTGTAAAATCTTTGCTGAAAAACAAACAAAACATTGCCATCGGGCATCATCAAGTACCGGCCTCCATGTTATGTTGCCAAAGTTTCACCCAGACAACATTGCAAGGTTGCCAATATGCAATTTTGAATATGCCATGGGTTTAGGTCCGGACTTACAAGTCTGGAACTGAACCTAAACCTCTGGACTTGAATCCGGACCTGAACCTAAAATTGGGTTTAGGTATGCGTCACTACTCACGTACGACAAATGCATTGGTTTAGAACAACTGCAGCGTGATCCACAAGAGTAACAAAAGGGTTTATACATCAGTAGTATCAGTATGAAGAACTAAGTAAACTAGAATAGTGGAAGTACCACAGAACTGTAACAGTGGGGTTCAAGCACCACCAATTCACCAGTCTAACCAGCCCAGACCTTTTAGCCTAAAGGATTGCAGTTGGTGCATTGGGTTTGGAGCTGGTGGAACGGGTTTGGTGTGGGTTCAAATCCCGGGAGCCAGGAGATATTACTACTCCTCCTTTTGTGTTTCAATGGTTGCCACACCGGGTATTGAACCCATGCTAAACCCAGGCTCCCAGCTCACGAACCAAACAAACCCAGCCTCCACCAGACTCCTTTGCAGGCTGAGTAAATACATGTAGTAGAAATGGGCCTAAAAAGGAATGTAACTGTCCAGGGAAATTGGACCCTCTATATGGCCGGTTAACGCAGCTGGCCAGTTACATTATTTTTACACCAATTTCTAATTATTCAGCCTGCAAAGGAGTCTGGTGGAGACTACAGTACACCACCTCAGAAATTCTCATGACATAAGTCAGTTTAGGTGCAGAACGTCCCATTTCTTGAACACTACTCTGCCTTACTGTGTTAAGCTATTTTTAATTGAACGATGAAAAATGATCCACTTCATCAGCCTTTACGTATACAAGTCTTGCATTTTACAACTGTATATAGATTATTTCAATCTGTAATTTTAACTTGAAGTAAGCTTTGAATCAACTGTTTTTATATTGTATTATTGTACTTTTAATGTGTTGTAATTTTTAGTGTTAACTTGATATGCAACAAATAGGTTGTTTTTATCAAATGTAACAAACTTTTATCAAATAGCTGTATTATAAGCGCATTTTGTGTTTTAAAGCCTTCTAAATTCAGCCAAATATGGCTGCTTACAGGCTTTTGTATGTATCTGTATGGTACAAATAAACCAGTCTCTCTCTCTCTCTCTCAAAAAGGCTGGTCCCTACTGTTACAAATCAAGCTGACTTACTTTTGCCTTCAGTTCACTGAGCTGCTTCCTGCAGTGGTTGAGTTCTGACTGCAGCTGTGCTGCGTGTTTCTCCGAGGCTTCCAGCTTGTGTGTCAGCTGTTCTATACTGTCTTCAGCACGCTTCAGATGGCTCGTAGAAGAGTTATTCTGTAAGGGATCAAAAACATTAATTCTCAGTACTTGGGCCAAGTTTTTAATATGCATACAAACAACCTATTATAATTAGTGTCTGTGTTTTCATGAATTGTTTCCAAATTATCATTTATGGTCATCAATTCCTCATCTAACCAGACGTTAGGTCTAGAATCGATTCATTAACTGTGCAAAATACACGGTACAGCTATCAGCAAGATAAAAAAACACCCATAAAAAAACAGTGAGCGCTACCAGATGTACATGTAGAATCTGATGTGAATACATGTAAGGACCATGGACCTAAGGGCCATGTGGAAACACAGACACACAAACACAGACCAAAAAATTTCTTTGGAAAAAATCTTCAGATTCTTTGGAAAAAATCTTCAGATTCTTTGGAAAAATCTTCAGATTCTTAAAAAAAATCCAGATTTTTTTCAGCTTTTTGAAAAAATCTTCACCTTCTTTGACACAATCTTCAGATTTTTTAGAAAATCTTAGGATTTTTTAAATTTTCAACGATATGTGATTATGATCGGTTATGTGCCATGGACGGTTTTCACAAAATATCAACTTTGTAAGTACATGATTGTATAAGCCGTAAAGGGCTACAAACATTTGTCCAAAGTACGATATTCAGTCCAAAATTAATCTGCAGGGTGTATATTATTATTTTTAATCTTGTGCAAGTTGTGGGGTTTGCCTGTGGTATACACATGTATCACATATGTCCATCAAAGGATTTGTTTGGTGTGAGTATTACAGTACCATAGTTTCTAGCTCCATGACTCGCAGTCTGGACTCCTTTAGTGCTGCTACAACATCAGCTTCCCGCAGTTTGACAGACATGAGTTCATCCTGCAGTACCTCCACCACCTGCTTGGTGTCTCCCTTCTTATTTGTTGACCTTGCTGCACTACCTGTCGTTCTAGCCAGATGTTTCTGCAAACAATAGTTGGACCAATCAGGATTGATAATTATGTATAATTGTAATACTTGGAAACCTACAAAATATGTACATTCAAATAGAATACAATATGGAGTACAAAATGTACAATGTCATGTATTTTGTATCACCTGTGGGAGGGGTGTTGCACTTTACATGTACATGTATCTATGTCATGAACACCAGAGAAAACACACATTCATTCAATCTGAAATGTGTCAAAATTTGGTGTCCTTCAAAAAATTGTAACAACATCAAATCCAATGCCCAGTTCCAGTACAGTAACTGCAATAGCAAGTCAACTCAGTCCAATACTGGAGACAGCAATTTTGACACAAACACACGTCTTTGCACACGTCAACACATGCGGTCGGCAAGCTTAAGGATATCTATTGACAGTAATAGTATTGATTTCTTTACAAGTTTAGTTAATGTCAAGAACTAAGAACAAATTGGTTTGGGGCTTCAAAAATCTCACAGTCAACTGTTTAAACTTATCTGACAAAATATGTAGAATACACTGTTTTGAAAGAATGTTGGGCACTGCTTTTGATTTATTTGCCCATGATGCATCTCAGGCTGTTTGGCCGAGTTGAGCAGGGTGGTGGGCCGAGCTGACCAGGCTGTTGGGCCAAGTTTGTCCAGGCCGAGGCTATTGGGCCGGGTTGACCAGATTTGCCATGGGCTGACTTGGAAAATTCCGAGTTGTCCTGATACCCACCAAACTGAAGTGCTTATAATAAGAACACTAACTGTCTGTTATACATCAGTCCCAATGGACCTATAACATTATTACGTCACAGTTTGTTTATCGCAATGAATGCTGGTCAATCGACGTTTATATTGTACAAGGGTGCGTAGCACGGTGTGTGTTTGTGTAGCATTAGCCTAATATAAGGCTTTTAATACAGTACTACTTTCGTCTATTGTCACAACTAAATCACCCATGCGTCATGCAATGCTGTGTCAACACAACTAGACGCAGCAAAAATCAGACATACCTTACTTTGAAAACTTTGAAATGATCTGTATTCTTTAACTGACCGTTCTAGAATGTTCTTTAGAACAGGTAAACAAACTGTGACGTAATAATGGTATAGTTCCATTGGGAAGTTGATCTGTCCATGGTCCCTACCTGCCAGTGCTCCTCCAGGTCCACCACGGTCTGTCGGAGTTCCTTGAGTGCCAGCTGCCCCTCCGCCTCTCTCAGCTTCACCTGGACCAGTTCCTCCTGCAGGGCTTCCACACACACATTGGACGTCTGGTTCTCTTTGTGCTACAGGACATGGAACATGTATGTCACAAACTACAGGGCCTCCACACACACATTGGACGTCTGGTTCTCTTTGTGCTACAGGACAATGGAACATGTACATGTATGTCACAAACTACAGGGCCTCCACACACACATTGGACGTCTGGTTCTCTTTGTGCTACAGGACAATGGAACATGTATGTCACAAACTACAGGGCCTCCACACACACATTGGACGTCTGGTTCTCTTTGTGCTACAGGACAATGGAACATGTATGTCACAAACTACAGGGCCTCCACACACACATTGGATGTCTGGTTCTCTTTGTGCTACAGGACATGGAACATGTACATGTATGTCACAAACTACAGGGCCTCCACACACACATTGGACGTCTGGTTCTCTTTGTGCTGTGGGTGAATGGAACATGTAATTCACTTAATGTTCACGGCAGCGAAAGTTTACAGTCTGGTACTTACCCACACACACACACACTACACACACACACACACACACACACACACACACACACACACATGATATCCAACTTACCAGTGACTCCTGGCATTTGTCCCTCAGGTCTGACAGTTCTGCCTTTGCCTCTGCCTCCTGTAGTTTGGCCTGAGCCAACTGTTGCTGCAGCTCAGCCACTGCCTGATCTGAGATACCCAGTACTGGGGTACTGCTGGAACGTGCTACAGTCTGAGGGGAACAAGATCAAGATCATCATGTACATACAAGATGACTCGTTGAAGTACACCTAGGCCAGTCCTTTATCTCATTAAGAGGAGGGCGCAAGGCAAGTAAAATGTAACAAGTAACTGTGTGCATCGGACAGGAAACTTTCGATTAAAATTGTTTTCTACACATACATTTCATTTATACGTATACTTACAAAAAATGTTTTATAGATCTTAAAGATTAAAAAAAAAGAATCAAGCCTGTTGCATCAAATTTATCTTTTACAAGAGAATAGCCCTGAGGTACTTTCCCAACCCTGTGTGTTTCTAGCGCAGTATATGGCATAAGATGCACAAAGTGTGCAGTTATGAAAGCTGCATTATGTATCATATTATTTAAGGACAATACAAGAAATCAATTTTCTAGTCATTTCTTTTCAAACTACAATCATCTGAGTTAAATGAATCCTATTCCATTGCAAATAAAGATCAGGAAGTGGAAATGGCAAAATATTGTTTAAAAGCTGGAGACACAGCTGTCAGCATGTTTGTATTTTGTGGTGGTGACACAAAATGAGTGTGCCTTGTCTGGGCTGTTTTATGGCCCATCAGTTGCAGCCATTACATCAACAACAGGTTTTCCCTAAGGCCTCTTGTGTAGCTCAATGGACCTATACCATTATTACGTCAGTTTGTTTACCGCAATGGATGCCGGTCAATCGACGTTTAGGGGTGCGTAACACGGTGTGTGTTTGTGTAGCGTTAGCCTAATATAAGGCTTTTAATACTGTACTACTTTTGTCTAATGTCACAACTAAATCACCTATACAGCATGTAATGCTGTGTCAACACAACTAGACGCAGCAAAAATCAAACAATCATACCTTTCTTTGAAAACTTTGAAATGATCTTTATTTTTTAACTGACGGTTCTATTTTATACTTTGTTTCAATGTTCTTTTATGTTTGTAATTTGCAATTACTCTCCGAGCACGAATTTGCAATAAACTTCTCAATTATTAAAATGTTACATGCACTTGTGCAGCAATATGTACATGTATGTAGAAAAAAGGATTTGACCGTGCACCTGCATGCACATACACACACACACACACACACACACATTACACACACATCATACCTTCTGTCCATCACTTGTCAGTGTCTTGATGACATCCCGTGCGTCCTCCAGTGCTGCCATGGTCTCGAAGCTGTGCTGTCGGACGGCGGCCAGCTCTCGCATCATGATGAAGTTCTCCTCCTGCTCCTGGGCTCGAACAACTTGTCCCTGACCAAGGCAGGCACAACTCCAAGGTTAGCTTAAAGTGCTCATGACACCAAAATATGACCTTAGCTGATTGTAATTTACATATATATATAACTAGGATTACCTGGCTAACAGACACATTTATAATAAATATGCACGGTTCTGCTGTTACTGCTGCTCGAAATTTGAATGCCCTGCCTTGGAAAGGTCAGCACGGTCAGGTGATTTGCATCTCTACATTTTATTTTTGCATGTCTGTATTTTTTCCTGAGCTGATGTCACCCAGTGATGTCAGGTCAGGAACAAGCACAGAAATGCAAAAATAAAACACAGAGATGCAAATAGAGATGCCTAAGGAGGGCGATTGGGAAGCTAAAAAGATTTTCCAAAATTGCAAAAAGTCACTTTTAGAAGGCCGTACAAGCTAAATTTCTCAGTCATCATGACTGGAACAAACTTCAAGTGACTATATTGTACACTTCCAATATTATTACCTCCATGAAATGTGTCATGGAGGTTATATTTTCAGTTGCGTTTATCTGTCCGTCCGTCTGTGTCCGTCTGTTGGTCAACAAGATAACTCAAGAACGCCTGGATGGATTGGTTTCATACTTGGTGTGTTGGTAGGGTGTGACGAAAACTGGAAATGATTAGATTTTGGTCCCCCTAGTGGCTTCCCTTGGTACTGCAGCGCAACTTCCGGATTTGATATCTCGCGATCTGGACATGCTAGGGTCATGAAATTTTGATGGAATGTAGCTCTCGTGCTTGGGAAGAAGTCATATGAGTTTGGGCTCCCTAGCGGCATGTTCTGGAACTGCAGGGCACTTTCTGGCGAAATGTTTAAAAGCCAATAAGTCCAGACAGGAACAACATATTTTCATTATTTTTGGTGTGTAGGTAGCTGAAAGAGAGATGTACATAATTAAATGCAAATTATGCAAATGAGGACTTTACTTGCATAATTAATGAGGAAATTCTATAATTACAGTGTTTTACATTATACTACTTACATACATGTACAATGTAATATATGTAACCTATGGCAGGCGGAACTTCAACAGATACTTATTATGCAAATGATGACCTAATTTGCATAATTAATGCAAAAATTCTATGATTTCGTAATGGTGAATGATGAGAATGTCATACTTGGGACATCTGTAAGTTAATCAAAAGTTAACATACATCACGATGCATATATCATGTTAATGCAGAGGTCATTTGCACAATTAAAGAAGAAATTTACATTTACATATCAAGATCATATTTCATGGAGGTATGAGATCTCGGAATTCTAGTTTTGTATGTATTTTACTGGGCCTGGCTTTTTCTGGTGTCATTTGGTCTTCAGATATACTGGTGTTCACTTAAAATCTTGCAACTCTTATCCCCAGACATACTGGTATTTAGTAATACCCAAAAATAATTTCAGCAGGTAACATAGGATATACAATCATGTAGGGATTTTCTTATATGCAGTAGTGCTTTTCTCACCTTGCTTACATTTGTACATTATGATGTCTATCAGACATTCACATTTTTGTACCTCAGAGCTTCCAAACGAGGGGGGCATACAAACTTAGCCATGTTTTTTTTTTTGGGCAAACTTTCCACCTAAATCAGCTATATAGTGGCAAGAAGCAGACGTGAGTACTCCAGGCAGAAGGTCCATGAAAGCATAAGTGAAGTGAGGGAAATACTGAATGAAAAAATCCCAATATCCTACTTAGTATATCATACCTCCAGTATTCACTTACAATGCTGATTTGTGTTATTCAACTTGTTGTAAAATCTATAAACAGGATAAATAAAACTTCACATACCTGTATCAGTTTATCTGCCAAAGCAGCACTCTCCTATAGGGAGGAACAATATGGTTAAGTTAGAAAGATGAGGTACTGGCAACATTTGATTGAATTCACTGCCTGCAGAAATCAAAAGCTGTAACAGTAAGACAAAATCGACTACTATCTGATGATTGATTTAAGTTACTACAACTGCTATACCAGGTAGTCAGGTTTGGATACAAGATCAAGTTGAACTTCTCCTTGTTAAAAGTTATTGGAAGAAATATTTTTGAGACAACATGAAAACTTTATTGAAACATTAATAATAGTTAAAACACTGATATCATTTTCCTCTGCACGTTAATATGAAGCTGGTGATTTTACACATCTGTACAATGTACTGTACATCTGTCGATCAAAATATGAACTAACTTTTTCCAGGATCTCTATTCTTTGCCGAAGAAGTTGGTTCTCATTTCTTAGTCTCTGCAACAAAGAACGAAACAAAATTGTCAGCGGCATAACAAAACAGCTACATGTATACCAGTGACAAGTACAAACTTTTGTAATCTGTCTATATGGCCACAGCAAGTAATTTTTATGAGCAGCGCACACATTAATTTTTGCCTGATTTTGGAAAAAAAATTTTGTTGCCTTTTGACAGTAGTCAACATGCCAAAATGGGCAAAGATGTCTGTTGCCATGCCAGAAGGTGGATGGCAGATAACTAGTATGAAGAGAGAAGACAAGAAAAGGCTCTGATTGAATGTTTTGTTTCTTACTTTGATGCAGTGATATGTGATGCTGGCTATATGTGATGTTCCCACTGAATCAAAACCATTTGTACAATGATTGAGTCAAAATTTAAAAATGTAGGAACCTTGTTTTTTTTCGGCCCGCCTTGTTTTTTTTCGCCTGCTCAGATTTGAAGTCTGTGGAGGATGTCATCCATAAAATTTACATGCTGTGGCCTAATTGGTACATCATACCTCTTGACTTACACTAAACACAATTCACAAGTCTTGCTTGATTTTACTTGTGGTAAATTAAGGAAACATTTGAAAGACAATACATGTAACTACATACATGTACATGTACTCACCCTAATTTCAATTTGTTCTTCTAATTCTTTGCTCTTAAGTGACATGTACTCTTTCTCCAACCTGTGGTATAAGAAGGAAGGAACTTGATGAATGATACATGATGTACAAAATGACTACTAAACTGGTTGAAGTACCAACCACTAAGTATCTAATACCAGCCCGGAAAAAGAACAAAAAACAGTCATGTATTTAAATACTACGTTATCAACCAAGGATCATAGAGTGGAACTCGTAGCCACCAAGTACAGTTTAGGCATCATCACTACAAAGCTTTAAACAACTCCCAGAATTGAATGTGTAAAGATTGTGTGTAACAGTTTGTTTGGTGTAATATGCATGTGTAGACAGTCTCAGTTCATTGCCATAAATATGTAATTTAGTAGATAATAGCATGCCTGCTTAAACTACTAAAGGTCTTGAATTCCAAAGCAAGAGTACATGTAGGAGTATGATGATAAAAACTTCAGAACTCAAAACTCACTTTTTCATCTTTTTCTGGTTGTACTTAATATTATAGGCCAGGTTGAAGATGCCCTCTGGGTCCTTTGACATCATGAGAGGAATCTCCTTCTGGAAGTACTGCAGAATGTACAGATGGTTAGCATCTACAAAATCATGTACCTAATATACTGGGTAATGTACAAATCCGACTGCAATGCACAGTGTTGTATCTTATTTATGTCATACCTACCCAAGAAAACACACATTTCAATGCTAAATGTGACAAAATTTTTGAAAATTTGGTGTTCTAATAACAAGAATTCAAACAATGTCATGACATTGTAGGAATCCAGTATCAAAATTTTCAAAAGCAGTGCACTTAAGGCACACACAAAACATACCTTGAGCATCCCCTCCATGTCTAAGTACCAGTGTTCGTACCTTGAACATCCCCTCCATGTCTAAGTACCAGTGTTCGTACCTTGAGCATCCCCTCCATGTCTAAGTACCAGTGTTCATACCTTGAGCATCCCCTCCATGTCTAAGTACCAGTGTTTGTACCTTGAGCATCCCCTCCATGTCTAAGTACCAGTGTTCGTACCTTGAGCATCCCCTCCATGTCTAAGTACCAGTGTTCGTACCTTGAGCATCCCCTCCATGTCTAAGTACCAGTGTTCGTACCTTGAGCATCCCCTCCATGTCTAAGTAATAAGTACCAGTGTTCGTACCTTGAGCATCCCCTCCATGTCTAAGTACCCGTGTTTGTACCTTGAGCATCCCCTCCATGTCTAAGTACCAGTGTTCGTACCTTGAGCATCCCCTCCATGTCTAAGTACCAGTGTTCGTACCTTGAGCATCCCCTCCATGTCCAGCTGCATCAGATCAGACTTGCTAGCCTGCAGCAGTGCGATCCCCAGCCTGAAAACGATCTCCATACTCTGTCAAATACAATTAGATAATGATTAACTTCACAATCCTCCATTTAACAGGGAATGTACAAGTACATGTACAATGTACAAAGGTAAAAGGTACAAGTACTAGTTAAAGGAGAAAACAAACCCAGGACCCATGGGTTCTGGGCACAATGCCCTACAATTACACCGCACTGTAAAGAACCCACCTCCGACATGAAGAGGTCCATGACTCTACAGGCGACCTGCAGGGGGAAGACTGTGGCGAACAGTGTGAGGAACCAGGAGGAGGCGTACATGGAGGTGTGGAAACACTGGGTCTGGAAGTGGATGTGCAGGTCAGGTAACAGCTCCTGCAACAGAGAACAACACCTCAGTTATGGCAGGTTCACACTTCCAAACAATCCCCATAATTATTTCATCAGGTTGGAAGATACTTAGGGTATAGAATTTTCTTCTTACACAACCATGGAGTTTCTCACCTACTTACGTTTCGATGTCTATCAGACACCTTCCGCAGAGCTTCTGACTGGAGTTCTGCAACTCGCCGCTATTTAACGCCAAAGTAGGTGGCGCTTTTGCGGCGAGAATACAAGCTCAGCCACGTTTGGGATTGCATTCTCGCAGAACTCCAGTCAGAAGCTCTGCGGAAGGTGTCTGATAGACATCAAAACGTAAGCAGGTGAGAAACTCCATGGTTGTGTAAGAAGAAAATTCTATACCCTTTCCAAACAATCGTTGATAAAGCATTCACCAATGAGTAATACAGTCCAGAAATCTCTGATCTACAGAAACTGGTTGCCACCATGCCATGAGGCCATATCCGGCAGGATGACCAGGTTGAGCAAACGGCTACAAACTCTCAGACCCAGAACTGTTTGATTTACAAAGAGCTCGATCTACTAAATATGACAAAGTTGTTGAATGATATGTAAGTTTTGTAACATACTGAAAGTTATACTGGCTGAACTGTTATATTGTACTGTTGATATTGTATAATTATGCAGTGTAAGTCTGTATTGATAATATTCTTCAAGATTTTAAATTGTAAGAAGTCGACAATTCAGCCATTTAGGCTGCCATAGACTTTTAATCTGTATGTTTATGTGAATAATAATAAACCAGTCATCATCATCATCAGTTCAGTCTGAAGAACCTCAGCACCCTCTGCTACCATTTGCTAACAGCATGCATTCCTCTGACCAGGAATCAACATGGATAGACCCTCTGTAGAGCAACACAACTTGTATTCCACTATCTCCACCTACAATACAATTACATGTATACAGAGTGATCCCTATGGGGACCAGTACTAGTGCGCATGTGCACAGTAACTATCATAATGGCAGGAAACCATAGATTTAGCACTTTAGTAACAGGCCCGCCAGGCAAGTTATGGGAATAAAAAGTATGACAATCATAGAAGATAACAAAACACACAAAAAAAACGTTGAAAACATAATCATAAGTTGTGCATATTCTTGACCTGCTTTTTTTTATTCTTCATTCATTCAAACAGCCTGGTCGGCCCCGGCTTAGAATTGCGACTCATGAAGCAACATTTTTTGCACCAAAAATTGAAATATTTCAGTTGAAAAATTTTTTTACTTTCCAGGATATCTGTGGAAAGGTGTCTTGCAGGGTTTCCGGTTATGATCGGAGCGCTTTCGGTCGCGCCTCGGTAATCGTGATGCTACCGAACGTTCCCGACGGCCGCACCGGACATTCCCGACTATATACAAGATGGCCGCCTGGTTTATAAACTTAGCGAATTTAGTACTTCTGGGTTGCGCTGTGGAATATTTAGGCTGATCTGAACATCGGCAACCTGGCCAATTGTGGTTTTATACTATAGGGAAGCTCGGGACAGCAAAAAAACGGGGCAAAAACGGAGCATTGGGCAGCCAACGTGAAATGTGCAGTTCTGCCAATGGATCTTTCCACGACTCTTGCTGAGGGTAATGCAATGTAAACCCGAATCAAGAGTCTCCACGGCTAGGAAGATATATAAAATTTTACAAAAGATATTCAGTACATGCAACATATACACTCAGACACATGTACAGAAACATCTGAGGCTTCACACAATGATCCTGTTTGTAAAACAAGTTGGAGTACAAAACTCAACATTTCATGATTTACAAAATACAAACATATCCAAAAGTTAACTAATAGTTTACCAAAACAACAACAACAACAACAAAAATCACGACAATCCATCAACCGGTTCTTGAGATATTTTCCTTCGAGAATTTTTCAACAAATGCTCCTGCAGTTCCAGAACAAGCCGCTAGGGGACCCAAACTCATGTCACTTCTTCCCTATCCCAAGAGCTATCTACCATCCAAAATATGGACCCTAGCATGTCCAGATCACGAGATATCAAACCCGGAAGTTCTGCTGCAGTACCTAGGAAAGCTGCCAGGGGGCCCAAAATCTAATAATTTCTAGGTGTCATGAAGACCTACCCACCTACCAAGTTTCATTCCAATCCATCCCCTGCTTCTTGAGTTATCTTGCTAAACCACACACACACACACACACACAAACACACACACAGACAAATGCTACTGAAAACATAACCTTCTTGGCGAAGGTAACAAAATACTGACCTGTACCATACACTCCAACTGAAACATACACAGGCCCAGTTCAGCCATACTGGGTTTGAAGAGCTCCCGTAGGCGATAGTCCTGCATCAGGTGCACCAGCACACAGAACGTCTCCTCTTCTGGCATCTGTACAGAAAATCTCACAGTTCAGACAACCTGGAAGTAGTTTGGGCTTTTTTTTGTGACCTTTAAGGGGAATCAGCCAGTTTATTTTCATGTCTCAGTTTGATTTTTATGATGATGATTCGATTTTGCACCCCCACATGTACAGGTCTCATTTAGGAAATACTTACATGTAATTCAAATTCAAATTCTGATTTAAAAAAGGATTGAAGGATTGATGGGATTGAAGGATACTTGACTTTAACCTTTGTCTTTCCAATACCTACCTAGTATATACTAAGTATCAGGGCTCAAAATACTGGGTGCATGTGCACCCAATTCTTTTCTGTGGGTGCACCAGTGCACACAAATATTTTCTTAGGTTTAACATAATGTAAAGCTGTTAAATGTATACTTACAGCATACTCTTAACATCTAAGTGTCAGAAAAAAATAATACAATCATTGTTATCATACTTTTCTTGACAGGAAACATAATTATAGTTTTGGCAGGCATTCTACTTATTTCATCTTGTATGGTGCACCTAAAATATTTTTTGTGCACACAATTTTTTAGGTTGGGTGCACCAGTGCACCTATTCCCAAAAATGAATTTCGAGCCCTAATATACTAAATACCATGATCACATTATCCATAAAGGTCTTCTTAAGTTACTGTATACTGGTAATAGATATGACGAAACACAGACAGACAGTACAGACAAAAAACAATATAATATACCTCCATTTTTCATGGACATATTGTTTTGATAAGCCATTAGGTCATAATTTGCATAATTAGTACAATGGTTAGAACATACTATAATTACAGCCCAATTCAGGAGAAAAAGAACTTACCTGCATCAGTAAAAGCCCCACGATGAAGCCACTCCCTTGGCAGTACCCAACCTCCCTGTCATGGAGAGAGTATGCCTGAGGAGAGTCAGAATTATGGTTTTATATATTAAATGGTTACCTGTTGCAGAGAAACTTTCACAGTCACTGTGACAGGTTCAGTTTGCAGTGAATGCAGTGCTGTTATATACATGTAGCTAACAGGTTTCAGTTTTCAGTGAATGCAGAATGCAGTGATGCTATAGCCAACAGGTCTCTTATAAATCAGTAATCTTTGGTCATTTCTTGCCAAATCTTATATAAGTTATACCAGTAAGCTATAGATATGATAGAGGCACTGATGGCCGCATCAGAGTGTACAAGCACGTCTATCATATATAAACCCTTGGACGATGGGAAACAAAACGTTACAGAATGCTAAACTGAATAGTGAGTAAGTGTGTTATCTGTTTTTAGATGTTTCTAGCAACACAAGTTATGGGAATAAGGAGAGATATCGTACCAAATTACCAATTGAAAACAAATACAGTAATACATACAAACAGTGAAACCAGCGTCTGTTTTTCTGTCATTTGAAAGAATTTTGCTGCTGATGATGGACAAAAATTTTTCCAATCCGTCATCTTTGGTGGACAAAAATCAGTGTGGAAAGAGATGTCATTAAACTAAGCTTAGTCTACCAGCAAAATTTGCCCCTCGAAATGCAAGCAATAGTGTTTCAGAGGGTCAAGATTTCAAAGTTTTCCTAGAGCATATCCTGGGTCCACCCTTAGGATTGTTAATGTTATGCTCAATATGAAAGACAATTGACATGACAGATAAAATGTATGACATACAAGAACATCATACATGCAATTATATTTGAAACTGAAAAGACTTTACGGTAAGACCACACCAATTTTTGATTTCTTGGTTGACGGATTCGCCCGCTTTATTTTTTTCTGATTTGCAAAAAACAAAATTCAGAATTAACTGCAAAATGCTCATATTTTGCCCTGAACAGTTGAAAACAGTCCTTTTCTTCCTAGTTGTTACAGTTATTCCATCTTTCAATGCAGTGGTCTCATTAAAAGTTCAAAATTCATTGTAACAGTTTAAATTTTGAACCAGCCTGGTGTGTTGACTTCATGGCTCCTATCGTACCATTTTGGGCCATAATAGGATACCTACTAGTAGGCCTGTTTTTTTTTTTTTAATTTTTTTGCCCACTCGCTCCATTATTTTTCTAGAAAAATCCATCAACCAAGAAATTAAATTAGTGTGGCCTAATGTCATGTAATTTTGTTGGATGGATGGAGAGGCACTTTGCCTACTAAAACAACATACCTTCATGACATTAAACAGTGTCTCTTGTCCAAGTCCATCCTTTTCTCTGAAGAACTCATGTTCAGGATAGGTGCGGGCGATGTCTCTCCTGATGACCTTCTCGCAGGGTGACGTGGCCTTCAGGTACTCTGCGTATTTCTCCTTGAGTGGCGACCGATGGGCGTTACACAGCAGCTGCCAGGCGATGCCCCTGAAGTGGTGAGGAATTCCTCTCCTCACAAGACTCTGTACATTCAAGATGAGGTTTGTTTATTTGTTTGTTTATTATACCTTTATTGTACATTCATGCCCCGACGGGCTAGGTACAGGTCAAGATATAACAGACACATAACAAACGTATATAGAAAATTGGAGACAAAAGATGTACTACTTGACTTAGACATACATACATAAGGAACATACAAGGGTACTATACTAGGCTAATACAAAGTGTTATAGTCACTGAGCTAAATAAATATAGAGAGGTCAACTTCTTCTCGCTTTTTTGTACAGTGGAAAATGTGGGAGCAGATCACGTTTGTGATACAGGGTTTGTCTAGACGCATCAAAATATAAATTATCATTTGCACTTAGGTGTTCAAAGTATGGGAACTTCTCTTTGATATAATTAAAAAGGACAGATCTTTCATTAGACCGATCTCCATTGGTTTGTACAGACATGAGTTGCCATACATACTATTCTTCCTACTATTCTTTAACTACATACTACTATCATAACAACATGGTAATGCTTATAACTACAACTACATAAACACACACAAGATGCAAATTGTACCGAGAGGTCAGAGGTCTAGTATAAAATTAAAAACATTCATATTTACACTCTGTCGACATTTACCACCAAGATTGTAAGGGTTTGGAGGTGTCCACCACAGTTTTCAACCATTCCCGGATGTGTTTTTTAAATGATGTAGGTGCGGATAGTCTGATGTGTTGTGGAAGTGCGTTATATGATTTAGTGCAACGGTACAGAAATGTTCGTTTGGCTGAGGCTGTTCTTGGTTTTGGCAGTCTGAAGCCCCCCTTTGCGCTAGGCGTGTGTTGTGTTGGTGTGTATCATTAACTGTCTGTAATCGTTTGTAGATTTTTTAGGTGTCATTTTTAAGGGCAATAAACAAGCTTTTAACTTGAATATAATTATTGAATACTAGTAATCTTCATTGCATATTCATGCCCAGATGGGCTAAATACACCTGTGACCACAGAGCAATATAAAACATAGTATTGAACACTGCAATGCTACCATCTAGCACTAAGTACTAAATGTCTAATAGATGTACAACAATACTATACTTAACACCATTTCTTCTCTCTTTTTGAGACACATGGAGACATGACATTCACTGCATATTTTGTTGACCATTTTGAAGTCTCTTCAAGACAAATACTAGTAGTTAATACTATGATGTATTTTATAATGTGTGTCATGAGAGGAGTCCAGGAAGAGTAGTGGTGTGTTATATGTCACTAATTGAAGATTCCTTAAATAAACAAACAAACAAACAAACATACCTACCATATATCAACTTGAAGATATTAAATCTAATAGTATACAAACCTTCAGAGTTACATGTACATGTATCATGTTGACATACAGACACACACAAATGTTACCAAAAACATAACCTTTTTGAAGGTAATAATACCTCAGTCCATTTTCATGGAGGTAAAACCGGCTAACTCTTGCATATGCATGTATAACAAAGAGGACAAGTATGATACATGCAACACTAGTGCTGTGTACCTAAACCCACATTTAGGTTCAGGTCCAGTTTCAAGTCCAGAGGTTTAGGATCAGTTCTGGACTCATAAGTCTGGACCTAAACCCATGGCATACACAAAATCGCATGTTGGTATGCTTGCAATGTTTGGGCAAAATTGTGGTCACGTAACATGGAGGCTGACACTTGACGATGCCCAATGGCAATGTTTTCTTCATTTTGTGGCACAGAGTTTGTGATCTATGAAAGGTTTTACTTTTAGGTGGCTTGGAAAGGGGTATGTCACGTTTTTTTGTAATAAGTCCGGAATTAGTTCTCGACTTTTAGTTGTTTTTTTTTTACTTGAACCTTTTACAAGTCTGGAACCGGTCCAGCAAACCGGTACACAGCACTATAAACACCGAGCAGATTATAATATTTTATACTCAGTAATTAAATTTGGACTGAGCAGAGCAGTTTGGACTAGTGGCTCTAGCCATTTACTACTAAAACCTACAACTCATCTGATATTTGGTGGAAATATTTTCTGTTACCCAATGGATCATAATACCCCCCACTGAGACCCTTCATGCTTCATTGAAAATTAAAAAATCTCGAAAAAAAAATTTCAAAAAAATCTCGAAATTTTTCTACAAAATTTCGAGATTTTTTTATAGCCACTAGAAAAATCTCCGGATTTTTTTATAGCTACTAGAAAAATTATAATTATTATAGCTATGTAACACTAACCTTGATCAACTTAGGTTTACGCTTGTTGAACTCCTCCCAGTCATTAACGATGTCTCCCCAGACGACCCATGTGTCCTCCTCGGTGGGAGTTCTGTCTCCCCCTGCCTCAGTCATGTCCTCGGGCGCACCATAATTGTTCAGGTTACTGTTGACAGAATCGCTGGACACCAGGCTGGTTCTGGAACCTCGCGGAGACGAGTCTGACAGAGACTTCAGGGACTTACTGTCAGCCTCCAGTATTCTGAAAGGTCACAAAGAATTACACCATGACCAAGCTTTAGTATTATATATATCATAAAACAGGCATTAGTTAAAAGAGTCCTCCTCGCAACCGTTAGCATGGTCGCATATGGCAGCGCCCATCTCTGTTTCTATAGCCCTTGGGCCACACAGTGCAATCACTACAGCAGGGGCTAGTCCACTGGTAGCGGTGTGTTTAACTCCCACACTCTTTCTCAAATGTTGAGTGCTAAGCAGAGAAAGCAGTTGTACCATTTTCTAAATTTTTTTTAAAAGACTTTAAAAAGTCTTTGGTATGACTCGGTTGGGGATCGAACTCATGACCTACCGAGTGCAAGGCGAGCACTCTAACCACTTGGTCATTGCACTGATCATGCATTATAGGACAATACAAAATTGTAAATTTTCTGGTCATTTTTTTAGTACTTAACAAAGTAAGTTGCATCAACCCTACTCCACTGCAAATGAGTTTCATTAGGGAAGTACATACATGTGTAGGTGGCAAAATATGAGTGTTTATAAAAGCTTGAAACATGGGTGTCAGCCATGTTTGTTTACATTCTGGTATTTTGTGGTGGTACCACAAACTGAGTGTGGGGGGACTTATTTTAGCACCAACCCTAAATGTCAGAAATGTTAGCCTGGTTACCAGACCTTTTTTAGCCCCTGAGTATATCCTCTATTTGCAGAAAGGATATAGACTCGGGAGCTATAAAATAAGTCAGGTAACCAGACTAGGAAATGTGAGATACACTATCATACAGTAATAACACAAATATGTCATAATTGCACCATGACTTTTGTAACAGTTATACTGTTCCAAGCAATCAAAAAAAAATTAATTAAAATTTGTAAAGTCAGGAGGAGGATCTTATTTTCCAATAAATAAAAATTCTAAGATGTAAAAAAAATGCATACTATTACTAAAAATTGTACTTCATAGTACACGATAAAGTACCCACTAGTCATGCGCATTCTTGAAAAGTCTCTTTTTTCACTGAGGGGTTGTGCTCTGTGCAACCTACTAGTAATCAAAATGTTACAATTAGGTTGTCCACTTAGGTAGCCCCAGTTCCAGTGACTTGATTTCTAGAATTATTATGTCTAAATCTAGATAACAAAGGATTTACTTAAATCACACATGTGCCATCTTAATTAATTGAAATAAAATGAGAGGCCAGATATGTATAGAGTTCTCTGTTGTGGCCTTGTGTGTTTCAGACTTAGTACGATGACACTTAGTGATTCTCATGGTCACGCATCCGCCGATAAAGGCATTTTACATTAAATTTTAAACTAGAATTCCGAGACCTCATACCTCCATGAAATATGATCTTGATATGTAAATGTAAATTTCTTCTTTAATTGTGCAAATGACCTCTGCATTAACATGATATATACATCGTGATGTATGTTAACTTTTGATTAACTTACAGATGTCCCAAGTATGACATTCTCATCATTCACCATTACAAAATCATAGAATTTTTGCAGTAATTATGCGAATTAGGTCATCATTTGCATAATTAGTATCTGTTGAAGTTCCGCCTGCCATAGGTTACATACATGTATGCAAGTAGTATAATGTAAAACACTGTAATTATAGAATTCCCACATTAATTATGCAAATAAAGTCCTCATTTGCATAATTTGCATTTAATTATGTACATCTCTCTCTCAGCTACCTACACACCAAAAATAATGAAAATATGTTGTTCCTGTCTGGACTTATTGGCTTTTAAACATTTCGCCAGGAAGTGCCCTGCAGTTTCAGAACAAGCCGCTAGGGGGCCCAAACTCATATGACTTCTTCCCAAGCACGAGAGCTATCTTCCATCAAAATTTCATGACCCTAGCATGTCCAGATCGCGAGATATCAAAACCGGAAGTTGTGCTGCAGTACCAAGGGAAGCCACTAGGGGGACCAAAATCTAATCATTTCCAGTTTTCGTCACACCCTACCAACACACCAAGTATGAAACCAATCCATCCAGGCGTTCTTGAGTTATCTTGTTGACCAACAGACGGACAGACGGACAGATAAACGCAACTGAAACTAGAATTCCGAGATCTCATACCTCCATGAAATATGATCTTGATATGTAAATGTAAATTTCTTCTTTAATTGTGCAAATGACCTCTGCATTAACATGATATATGCATCGTGATGTATGTTAAATTTTGATTAACTTACAGATGTCTCATCATTCACCATTACGAAACCATAGAATTTTCGCATTAATTATGCAAATTAGGTCATCATTTGCATAATTAGTATCTGTTGAAGTTCCGCCTGCCATAGGTTACATACATTACATGTATCGCGAGATATCGTAAACACTGTAATTATAGAATTTCCTCATTAATTATGCAAATAAAGTCCTCATTTGCATAATTTGCATTTAATTATGTACATCTCTCTCTCAGCTACCTACACACCAAAAATAATGAAAATATGTTGTTCCTGTCTGGACTTATTGGCTTTTAAACATTTCGCCAGAAAGTGCCCTGCAGTTCCAGAACAAGCCGCTAGGGGGCCCAAACTCATAAGACTTCTTCCCAAGCACGAGAGCTACCTTCCATCAAAATTTCATGACCCTAGCATGTCCAGATCGCGAGATATCAAAACCGGAAGTTGCGCTGCAGTACCAAGGGAAGCCACTAGGGGGACCAAAATCTAATCATTTCCAGTTTTCGTCACACCCTACCAACACACCAAGTATGAAACCAATCCATCCAGGCGTTCTTGAGTTATCTTGTTGACCAACAGACGGACGGACGGACAGATAAACGCAACTGAAAATATAACCTTCATGACACATTTCATGGAGGTAAATATAACCTCCATGACACATTTCATGGAGGTAATTATGTCTCAAGAAATTTGCTACACACGTACAGTGTAGTACCTGTATTTATTGTGCTATAACAAAGCTGTGGCCATCTAGTCCTCCATGATTTAGTGAAGACATATTTTTACAAACATGTTTGTCAGTCAAACACCCACATAAAGTCACTGCCCTGAGGTCAAACTACTGCAAAAAGGCAGTTGTCTTGAGTGGCTCATAATACCCTTGTGGCCTAAGGGCTGGTGACCTGTGTCAGACAACCTTGACAGGGTCCTGAAGGCCATTTGCACATTAGAGATTCACCTGGTGAGAGAAACTGGTAGCATGTTGCGCTACCTAAGGCCACACCAATTTAATTTCTTGGTTAACGGATTCGCCCGCTTCATTTTTTCCTGATTTGCAAATAAAAATAAAAATTCAGAATCAACTGCAAAATGCTCATATTTTGCCCTGAACAGTTGAAAACAGTCCTTTTCATACTAGTTGTTACAGTTATTCCATCTTTCAATGCAGTGGTATCATTAAAAGTTCAAAATTCATTGTTTAAATTTTGCACCAGCCTGGTGTGTTGACTTCATGGCTCCTATTGTATCATTTTGGGCCATAATAGGATGCCTAGGCCTGTTTTAATTTTTTCTTTTTTTGCCGCCCGCTCCATTATTTGTCTAGAAAAATCCGTTAACCAAGAAATTAAATTGGTGTGGCCTAAGTTTATAAATAATGGTTGCTCCAAACAAAATATGGTTGCACGATGCAACTGCGGAACTGGGTAATTCGAACCCCCTCTAACTCTAAATAATCCCAGAATGCATCTCACCTATGGCTAAATGTAATGTGACAACTTTTGATGGGAATACTCCATTACTGATTGTGGTATTATTGATACTGTATACGTAACATATTTGCTTGTAAGGCCACACCAATTTAATCTGTTGTGTCTCAGAGTTTTTCAGAAAAAATATGAAGCGACAGGGCGAAATTAAAAAGAAAAAAACAGGGCAAGACACCCCATGAAGGCCGGAAATGTTACGATATGAGCCATGAGGTCAACATACCAGGCTGGTTTATAATTAAAACAATAGATTTTGAACTTTTAATGAAACAAAGTTGCATTGTTACATTGAAAAACTTAAACAACTACTGTAGGAAGAAAAGGACTTCAACCAAAATATGACTCTGCATGATTCAGAACCTAAAAGCTTTTTTTTTTTGCAAATCAGAAAAAAATGGACAGGGTGAATCCGAGAAACAACAAGTTAAATTGGTGTGGCCTAAATGTTGTTTTCCTAGGTTCGAGCAAGGTGGTTGCAGGAGAATGGTTCAAGCTAACAATGCCTTGCTGTACTTGTAGACTGACTTTGTCTTTAAATTTTAATTTACCAAAAAAATGCTATGTGCTAGCATTACTAGTTAATGTAAATAACCAAATGAAAAATAAATAGTTATGGGTGCTACACTTTCACCAGTCATATTATCACATTCAACTTGAAAAGGCAACTTGGTGGTTGAAAGGGGTAAAGACCTGCATGCAGACTTGGAATTACACATAAATAATTCAGAACTATATGTTTGATATTATCTTATAAATACCATACACTGCAAAATTATGGCACTCCCTCCCAAACACAATAGCTTCCCTCTTGAATACAATCCACAAGCTTGCTGCTTTCAAAATAAACATTGACTGTCATCTTCTGGCCATGGCATTATTAGTCATAATATTGTCTGTCATACCTACTAGTACCTGGAGCAGTGCCTAGAAATCATGGTCAAAAGGCTGTTTAAAAAAAAACATAATACTAGTTAAACATTTCACCTTTAAAATGCTGTACAGTTCTTACCTAGTAGATCAGAGATAGATATTTGACCAGAACTACTACCTGTTTACCTTCTAACTTCTATGAAACTGACAGCCTACCTTTCCGTCCTTTCTGAACTTGACAACCTGGCCGGAGAGGAGGCCCTCCTCACACGTTTGGGAGGGGCGAGAAAGCGGTCAAAAAAGCCGCCCGACTGTTCGGGAGGCTCCTCAATTTCGGCCGGAATTTCACTGACCAGTTGGAGGACATCCACGGGTCTTCCTGACTGGCTGGGCCTGTCCATTCTTGCGTTCCGGACGAGACAAACTTGTGTTTTGTCTGTGGCGACCGCCTGGGTTTCTTGAGTGGAACAACAAGCAGTTGTCTGTTTCCCCCTATATGGGCCTCACCCTACCTGCCACATCATCACCCAACTTGAACACATTTAGGTTCCAGTGTCAGCGGTCAACACCCTCAGTAATTACATGACGTCTCCTTCAGGCTAGCCGCCCTCCCTCTTTTTTCTAACGCAGTTTCAAAGTGGTGTCAACAGTCAAAGGTCAATCAGTCAAACGCTTTCAACAATTACTTTAGATTTACAAATTCTAGTTTCAAAAATTATCCTAATTGTCTAGGTTACAATAGCCTTGAAGAAAATTTAGATATCACCTTAATTTACAATTTATTTAAAGCTTCAGTTACATTCAGATATGTACAAAATGTACTTCATATGGGATATACCAATGTAGCATGCGTTTAGGGGTTGAACGAGGGGGGAAAATGATTAGATTTGCAAGTAATTGTTGTTTTCTTTCATTTGGTAATACCTTTGAAAGCTGCCCTTCAAGAGACAAAAAGGTGCATTGATTTGTGCTCTAGTGCAGTGTAATGACTGTGGGAGAATACTGCATACACGTACATACTTTAGTGCATGTACAGGAAACTGGAAAAACAACTTCAGAGGACTGCTAAGGTGTTTTCAGTCTCCTGCTTGACTAGTGCCACAAAGGCCCCAGGCTACTCCAGCAGGGGTACATTTTCGATTGTGTCAAACGTATCAGGTCTAACCTTGAAGGGGCATTATACAACATTTTTGCACAAAAATTGAAATATTTTTATTGAAAAATCTTCTTGTGATTGTAATTTACTAAATTTCAAAATATTTGTGCAGTTATCTCAGATTTCTACAGCCCACACGAGGCACACTCAGTTTGTGGTACCACCACAAAATACCAGAATGTAAACAAACATGGCTGACAGCTGTGTTTCTAGCTTTTAAACACACTCATGTGGCATAGGGTACTTACTTTGAAGAATGAAATGATCAGAAAATTGACTTTTTGTATCATTCTAATTTTATTTGTTGCATAATGAAGTTTTAATCAGAAAGGGATGGAATTTTCTGTCTTGTTACATCATGTGAAATGATTGATTTACTGGTATCTTTTCTTATTCTTGCACTTCCAATTCTCACAATAATTTGCCATATGTATATATAAATACATGCATGTATTTACTACAATGTATGCCATCCATTTAAGGCCACACCAATTCAATTTGTTGTTTCTCAAATTTTTTCTGAAAAAATATGAAGCGACGGGGTGAAAAAACAAACAAACAGGCCAAGGCACCCCATGATAGCCGGAAATGTTACAAAATTGTTATGTTTAATAGATTTTGAACTTTTAATGAAACAAAATTGCATTGTTACATTGAAAAACCTTAACAACTAGGAAGAAAAAGACTTTCTCAGGGCCATAATATGAGCATTTTGTAATTATTATAATATTGATTAGAACAAAAAAATTTTTTTTTGCAAATCAGAAAAACGATGGACAGGGTGAATCCGAGTAACAACAAATTAAATTGGTGTGGCCTGAAGGTTAAAATATAAGGCTAGGGTGATATATGGCCTGATGTTTGTATGAATGACTACTAGGCAAGGGAGGAACTTATACTAGTAACTAGAGTTCGGAGGTCTCATGCCTTCGACAGTGTGATATTGTTTTGGTGGGTGTTGTGTGTGTGTATAGTGTAGGTTTTTTGTGAAGATGATTATCGTAGTGAACGAAGCAACAGACTATTCACCAAGCCTGTACCATGTCTTTCTACGGAAATACGGATCGTAGAATTCGGCAAAAAGAAGAGGAGAATTGGCCTGGGGAGTCTGGCCGCGAAAGGTTGTTTTCTTCCCTCCGATACGCGGTGATCCAAACTTCAAAACGGCAAAAACTCCTTCAACTAAATTATTCTTCTATGCAGCCAGTGTTGTTGAAGCGTGCGATGTCCAATACATTGAAGACAATTGCAAGTTACAAAATCACACAAACTGGCCAATTGTTGTGATGGTATGTGGTATGTAAGATAAATGGGTTCCTCCCGGTGAGTTGTATCTCTCTAGCGGGCTGTCTGACCCTTTAGCGGCATACTATTCCCTTTATTTTGGCCGTTTTCTACTATTTTTCCAGTGATCCATGGTGCCTGGTAGAAAGTTAATCTTCCTCCACAAAGAGAAACTCATTTTATCATATATGCCTTACTTGTTAGAGGGGCCGTCGTATCAAACTTTTAGCAGGAAACAGCCCGACTTTCTATTCCAGCCCGGATGGTGGTATAGATTAGCCCAGGTCCTCCGGGGACGTTCCCAGAGGTACGACTGGCAGGGCTGAGGTCAGCCTCGGGTGACCTACCTAACCGTCCCAGTCTATCCTGTCAATGCAATTTATCCTGGATAGAATTCAAATAAAATATGTATCCTAGTTGCAATTTAACAATCTTCAATTTTTGAACTAGTAGTTATTTACTGGTTATTTCTCAGGTTGGCGACGCAGTTTGGCTATGTTAGTTTTCTTGTGGGGGCCCATCGGACCATAATATGGTCGTGAAAATCTATCCTTTCAATGGCAGGGCTTCTCTATTCCCTCTCCACACGACCCATTATGAAGAAGATTACAGGCATCAAACTCAAAGTCATTCATAGAATACCGCCGTGCTCCTCGCTAAAGCCACAAAGCTTATAAAGATTAGATACTGCTCAATGCGTTCAGACCACTTCCTTCTAGTGACCTGGCCATTGTGTACAGTATACCAACTATGTTATCGATTAATACAAAGTTTGTGACCTTATATCGGGTTTAAATCTTTAACTCCTGTTGCATTACGATACGATATGCACAAATGTACTACACAAGACTGCACAAATGTACATGCTAATGTTGTAGGTATTACGGGAAACCTATTCACATTATCCATATTCCAGATTTACCTGGGTGCCAAACTGAGATACTTTGTGTCCAGTGTGCTATGGGTCTGGCAACCAGGCTAATTCCAGATGTTCACACTGGGGGCCACAGACCTGTCAAATAAAGCACGCTCTGCTGGGGCACTGGGCCACTAATGTTTTTTCAACAAACAATTTCAAAGAAAACGTTTTTTCAACTAAAACCAATGTTGACAGCTTCCTGTCTGTAACTTGTTGTTTTAACCTAGATATGAATAGGTTTCCTGTATTCCCTACAACATTAGCGTGTACATTTGTGCAGTCTTGTGTCAGGGTTCACAAATTTTACAAGAGTTATGCAGTTGCTCCAGTACATGTAACAAATATTAATAAAAGAAAGATTGCCTTTTCTACATTGTACATTATGAATGATGTATCTATGTGTGTTTGAAGGCTGGCCGAGTCGTTAACCCAGCATTAACCCAGTATTAAAACTTTCAGTATTAATGCAGCATTAAGCGCCACTTTCGCCAATTTCGCAAGGATTCTGTTGTTTCAACAAACAGGAAAGTTTTTTCCAGCTATCCTTGTGGGCATAAAGCAATGTAATCCACAGAGGGTGGAAACCAAAAAGGTCTAGTGCAGTATGAAAGACATATAGATTTCTCTTATTAATTAATCAAATTGGGTCACAATTTACATAATTAATATCTGTCAATGTTCCTCTTCCTCTTGTTTAAATATGCCACCATTTCAATTGTTCTATCATGGAACGCAGCAGATTTATAGACTTTTGTCATTAATTATGTAAATTAGATTGTGATTTGCATAATTGTCATCTAATTAGGTCAAGCATCACTTAAGCTACCGAGATACCAAAAATAACAACAATCCGTCAACCGGTTCTTGAGCTATCCTACTTCAAACATTTTCAAACAAATGCCTCTGCATTTCCCAAATAAGCTGCTACGGGGCCCAAACTTACGGCACTTCTTTCTGAGCACGAGAGCTACCTACCATCTAAAAATCATGACCCTAGCACGTCCATATCACGAGATTTAAAAACCAGAAGTTTCGCTGCAGTACTTTCTAATTCAATGACGTGGGGACCCCCCACGAAGCCCATATCCGAACTTGACCTTGGTATTGTCAATGGTAACTTGCCAACTAAAAAACATGAACATCCATTTAAAGATTCTCGAGTTATCTTGATGACAAGAAAAAACACAAGAAACAAAGGTCAACTGCAGTGACATAGAAACCCCCACGGGGCCCATCTTTGAACTTGACCTCGGCATTTTCAACGGTAACTTGCCCACTAAAAATAATGAACATCCATTTAAGGATTCTCGAGATATCTTGATGACAAGGAAAAAACACCAAAAACCAAGGTCAACTACAGTGACTTAGGAACCCCCCACGAAGCCCATTTTTAGCCTTGACAATGGCCACCCCTAAATCAACCTGCCTGCCAAAAATCGTGAACCTCGGACCTTGCCTTCAAGAGTTATCGTGCCTAATCTGCCAAACAGTGCAAACCCGATTTCATAACCTTCTCCGAAGGCATAGCCTTCAGTCGAAGGCAATAATAAGGTGTGACAATGTGACCTTTCAACCTCTCAATACACTTTAAGGCCACACCAATTTGATTTCAAATTGCTGGTTCTTGAATATTTTCATAAAAAATAATATTTGCAGTAGCAAAATTTCACAGACTGAGAAAAATGGACCTGTTTATGGGACCATATGTTTGCGGTAGCAGCAGGTGCAGAAAAAAGAAAGTCGGAAAATTTGTGTTACAGAAGTGACGCGAAAACTGTGAATATAAAGGTACCGAGAATATAAAGTGATTACAGTATTATGATAGATGAAATTATCACTGTTTAGTTCAATTTAGCTCGATAAAAATGTTAAACATTATCAAAGGAAGACACTTTTAAATATACATGTATCATATCATGTACAAATATAGATGTCATCAATGAAGTATGTAAGTATATTTCAAAATTTTTCAAAGCCATTAGAACTAATAGATCAATACCACTTTATATAGTTTTTTTTAGCATTTTATACCTTGGACCTGATGTTAGTCCTAAATCTTTATTATTATTATTGTTGTAATTAGTACATTGTACATCCATGCATTTATCCCATTGGGAAATGAACATGTAATAAAGTTTCATTTCAGTTCAGTTCATATAACCTCTCTTGGACTTGACATGTACAGTTAGGATTGGTCTATAGGATTCTCACTCCTCCAGATCCAATCATCCTTCCAACTTCAATACATGATAATGAAATTCAATACATAAATACGAAATATTATACATTATGTCGTACAAGTGGTCGCCATAATGTCACAGCCAGTGGTAGGC